ATGGTGTTCTATGAATAAAATCAAGTATATCAGAATTTATTAGGAAACATGCTTCCGATTTTGGTAACTGAAAGCGAAATATGCGCAGAAATAAATATTATGCACTTCCTTTCCTTTGCTCGTGTATGCCTGTCATGTTCTCGGCGCGCAAATGTAGATGAAATATTTATCGGAGCTACGGGAACACATATTCGCCATTCCTTCTCTCTATATCACGAGCTGTTTTTCAATTCTAATTGAATCCATCGTTTTCACTACGTGAAAAATTACAGTTCAAGAGTTTTTTCACGTTTTAATGAATTATTCGATTTCTTTTAGAAAATAACGTAAGCGCTGAGAACAAATGTGCAATAACGTCGTCGTGAGTTGCGTGTCTTACTGCATTTCTTGTCGAGGACACATCTCAGAGAAGCTACGGAATAAGAAACGGCAGAGCGATTGCATTTACGATATGTACTGGTCACTTACTTCCAGCGTAAGTGAACTTTTCTTCTTTTTGTGTGACAAGTGAACATTTTAGAATTAAATTCAGCCGAAGTGATGAAGTTAAATTTAGCTAAAAAGAACACGTAAGTAGTAGAAGAAATCGAAATAACATCTCCGAGTTCATTGATTATCCTGATGTTCACAGGTTCAAATTTTTTATATTGATGAGGTTTGACGATCAAGTTTAACGTTAATTACTATGCCATCACTCTAATAAAAAAGGAAACAAACTCGAGTCCCGCTGATGGCCGTCAAAATCGGAAGTAGGTCGAGATCGAGTACGTTCAACGTCGAATCAACGTGTCAACCAATCGAATAATTTTCACTCACTCGTCCCCCTATAGTTCTCTAATTACAAATACCAATTGGTAATGACATTTTTCATCGTTTAATGTACTGTATATTCGTGACCCAAAAAGAAAGAGTATCTTTACGCTAGATAAAGTCCGAACCTTACACGAAGGGTTGAAACCATCAGATCGATACAGTAATGTAATCAAAGGCCTTGGTGAAATCTACACACATAACTACGCCCTAACGACTGTTTGAAAGAGAAATTGCCTCTTTCTTTTTTTAACCACAAACATAGTCGTCATTTAACAATAAGAAATGTTTCTGTGTATAATTCTGATAAAATGAACGGTTCAGAATTGATTGGGTAAAACGAAATGGGCGTAGTGATAATTATTACTCTGTAAGATGAAATTTGAACAATGAAAATTGAACGTGGAATGAAAGAGAATTAACTACGATGTATTTGAGATTTATTAGTCGTAACACGATATTCACTTACGTAAAATTTAATCAAGTATTTATCACGCGATGAATTAACATTATTTTTTCTAAATGCTTATCTCTCTAAAAAACGTTGTTGAACAAAATGATCGACAAATAAAACTTGAAATCTTTCTTGATGTATGATTGATAAATTAGTAAAAGGACAATTTATTCTCAGAATAGTTTACGTGACAGAAAGAATAATGTTTAATCTTCCTACACATTTCATTTTCTCTATTTTATCGAGATACCCGAGATTATTTTTAATATTATTCTCTTATTCACCGATATTATTTGTGACTATGCAGGCAGAAATTTGTTAATGAAAAAGGATTTCTATTAATAAATACGTCGAAATAAGTCCAGAATTTATAATGTTTCACTTTAAATGTTATTATTTTAGATATTCAACTATCGATTCGAAGCATTAACAAAAGGAATTCGAAGTTATACAACTTCGTTATGACGTTAATAAAATAGCTTGGAAAAATTCGTTTTAAAAAGATAGAATCTTTGAAACAGATACGCAAGATATAAAAAAAGAATATAAAGAGATATAAAAAAATGTTCTCTAAATCACACGGAAATATATAATCAATACAAAAGATATCCACTTACTCATTTATTATATTTATTGCAATTATTATAGAATTTCGATATACAAATTTCTATGCATCGTTAATTAATTCAAGCAAATTAAAATTATTAAAAATTCTTTATACGAAACAAACTTGTGTCGAGAGTCTAATTTACGATATTTTATTTTTCAAAAAATCAGATTCTATAGGGAAAAATTTTATTTATGTAATGTGAATTCGAAAAGAATGAAATTCGTAGAATAAGCGAAGGAAGTTAATTCTATTATTGATAGGTCACAATTAAATATACTTTCTAGCGTAAACGAGAATCGACTTTTGATCGATAGTTGAAAAATAGAAAAATAGCTTGACGAGTTCGTTCAACTGGCACGAATATATCCTCTAAACACGAAATTCACGTATTTGCTGACAAAAATTCAGTATTTATTACGATTATGAAATTTTATCGCGTATCGATTTATTTCATTTGACTAAAAGAAATGTAAATATTTACTAAAAGTTTCTTATCTGCGCCACTAAAATTATGATCCCATCATAATTTCCTAACATGTAATTTTCGTAGAATATCGAACGATCTCTAAATAATTCATATTTGTTTTTATGTAGACATACTAGGGAGAATATTTTTAATCCATTGAAGTTATAATGACGAACAAATACGATATAAAAAAGAACCGATGAAGGATCTGACAACGTATGTATATTTTATATTCATTATACTATAAGGTGTGCATCCGAAATGAATTAACCTACTTTAAAAAAGGACGTTCAGTGATGTTGATGATCGATAATAAAATACATGTTGTCCTATCGAAGCGTGTAAATCAATAATGACACCTTACGTTGATGTTATTTGCAGACGAAATAAGTAGTTGCAATAAATGTAAAAATTTTATATGAATTTTTTATTAAATATCTACTTAAAATCTTTCGTACAGATACCTATAGAATGATCAAAAAATGAATTTCATGTTTCTTTCATGCTGAAATTATCCTTGAAATTGGAAATGTGCGTAAAATGATCTAATATATTATATATTCAAATCACGAGCAAAGTGTAAGATAATAATATATATTATCATTTTATGAAAGTCTTTGGAGATTTATATTCCGAACATGAAATATATTTTGTAAAATATTAGGTTCTGTTATACTATAGACAAGAACATACATTTATATTGCTTTTTTTGATATATTATTTGATATTATTTGTTCTACGTAGAATAAATTATAAAACATTAAAATGTTAGTAGTGGTTAGAATTCAAATTAAATTTAATTATAGAGTCATAAATTATTATCCTGGACGAACTATAGAATATCTTCATATACTATAGATTAAATGAATAATTAATTAGTTGATTGAAACAGTAATTTTGAGAGGATTACTATATTCTTAATTTCTTTACGACTTTAATATGATGAGTAGTAATTAATTATAGTTTATTTATTATCATATTTATTAATATAACCTAATTACTATATATATATATATATATATATATATATGTATCTAATTACTATATATGTATGTGTCTATATAATCGTCTATATAATTTATAATAACCACACTAATAACCTGTAATTAAAATTTCTCACTGAAAATTTCATATCAAAGTAAGTATTTGAGTATTAATGACCTCGCTATTAAATAATTAAAATCATTCAAATGCAAATATCTGAAAATTATTTTATATAGTTTCAAATGATTGCACGCAATGTTCACAACGATAATAAATCTCTTATAAATTCTCACCTTTCTCGGGAAACTCGCCTATTGCCGAGCCTTCTGCTTGTCTATTGCGCACAAAGGTATATACACTGTTCACCGCACAAAAACCAAAACATCTATTCTATTTGTATCTCTTAACATTCCTCGAACAAACACCGTATCCCCGTTTCTTGAAAGTTCGTTGATCGTTCTACAACGCAACGAAATTTCGATACTCGAACGCGATTCTCGAACGTGATATTCGAGTGGAAGGGGAAACCGAAGCTTCCGTTTATTCGTGATGAAGCAGTGGTGGGGAGTTTTTCATTAGGAAGTCGCGGCGTCAATATGTGTAATTTCGTTTGACAAGTTTGACGTGCTTGACGTAAGTATTAATTATGTAACATTATTCATTGCTATTCTTTTTTTATTTATACATTTCTGTTGGCTTTGCTCGATTAACGTGTCTTTATATAGCGAATTGTTAAGTGTTATGCGATAAAATCAAGTCCTTTATTTTTCTATTTACTATCCTTTCTTCTGTGCGTGTTTAGAGGTTAGAGTTACCGGTTGCATTACTTGTTATACTAAACAATCAAATATTGTTTTATTTAATTATATTCTGCAACTATTACGATTGTACTATTATTCTATTGTTTTCAAGTTTTTATTTTCTACAGATTATTGGTTAATTGCAAGATTGATTTCAAAGGTGATTGCAATACCACACCGACGCCACGATCATTAAATCTATTTATAATACACAGATGCATGTTTTTACTGTTTGTGAGATTACAGGTAATATTTCGTACATGATAGACAGAATATGTAAATAGATATCTTTTGGCGCACTTTCTATCTTTTTAATATATCTCTATTTTTACAGAATGTTTGTGAATGCGTGCAATTGTGGTAAAGCCAGTGTTTGTTGCGTAGTAATGTTTTCATTCCAATTAAAATCTAATTTAGTAAATCCATACGCGAAATTAGAATCAGTGTTTGTTCGCCGATTGTAACTTAAACGGACGCGCTAATGATTTTAAAATTTTTTTTAATTATTATATGTTTTTTTTTTTAATATTCATATTAGAATAAATTTCGTTATTAGAGTCAGTGATCAGCTTTTCTTAAGAGGATATAATAGTGCTTCAGGAGCCAATAATGTAAATTTGATAGAAATTAATATTTCATTTTAATTCTTTCAAACATTTTAAGAACGAATTATAATATTTCATGTTTTATTTAAGATCCCTTTCCATTTCCTTCGTCGAGTTTAATGATTCCTTGATGGTGCCGTTTAATGACTACTTCCTTTGAACTACTATAATATTGATGACAACATTCTATACATCGAACTGTGAGTATATTTTGTTTTTCATTCAGTCATGTCAAAGGTCTGAATCGATTGCGAACATTTATTACACCCATGAATGATAATATTTCCTTTTTATGTATTTTATTAGCTTTATGTATTTATTAGCTCAGGATATTAGTTTTTTGTATATCATATTTTTGAAAATGTGAATATTACTAGAATTTGTCGCGTTTCATTTAATTTAAAGTTGAATTCTTTGTAATGTGATGTATATATTGTTATCGTGAATAATTAAAGTAGCTTTTTATTGATAGAAGAATAAAAATTTCTACTTAATTAGTGTTGCGATATTTTCCCATGGCTATTGTTTTAATTACTTTTCCAATTAGAGTTGCGTTAATGAATTATCGCGTTTCTTTAAATAGTACTACGTTTATAAAATGTTCAATTCTTCCATTAAGGAACATATTTCTAATATAAATAAATGTTTACTAGAATTCCTATCATAATTGTTTTAAGAAGTATATCATCTTCTTTTATCATGTTTTTTTTTCTTATCAATGGTTAGTTAATTACGAGTATGATAAAGCACTCTCCATGATTTTAATTTTAAAAGTAATGATTGATTTAATTTTTTTTCTTTTCCATCTTCAGTATCAAAAACTCAGATAAGTCAGACTGAGCAGGCTATAAAATATATAGACTATAAAATATATAGTATTTTAATGCTAGGCAAATTATTTCAAGTTCTGAAGAGTGTATTCGTTCTATATAATACTTTTCTTTTTAACATATTTTAGATATATATGTACGTAGAATTTAGGAGAAAGTTTATATTTTTAATAGATTAAATTAGATTTATAGTTAAGTTAAGATATTTTTAAATTCTGTTAAATTTAGAATTAAATGGGATGTTTTTAAGTTAAGTTAGATTTGTGATTAGATAGATTAGATGAGTAGGTGAATAGATAGATTAAATGAGTAGATTATTCTTAAACTATGTTTTTTGAAGTAGCTAGTTAACAAGAAGAAATTAATTTATAATATTTACTAATATTTATAAATATTTACGATCAAGATATAATAGCTATTAATAATTTTTATGATCAGAAATATAAAATATTGATAGAACATATGTAATGTGTAAGAAGGGACATCTTTTTTATAATTTCATAGCAAAATTTAATTTCAATTCCAACCACTGATAACATTGAAATCTTATTCCACGTTGAATCGGCAACGTTGAAAATGACAAATACTTAAAATGGTAACTGAACTTAAATTTCTCTTAGAAGTTGGAAAATGGAAATATTGGAGTTCTTTTATATATAGTATAGTATAAAATAATGAGAATGAGTTGGAGAACAAAATCAGATATCTATTTAAATACTTACCAATTAGAAGAAAGGATATGTAATACTTACCGTGAGTAGATATTTTATTTAACATGCAGAATATAAATGAAAAGTAGTTTTCTTCTCTTGTACAAACATTTTTATATTATTGCATATTTAATTGCACTACATTTATCATTTATTAATATATTAAAAACCATGTAGATGCGATTGTGATTAGATCAATTATCTGTATCTCTTCTAGAGAACAATATATTATATAATATTAATTAAAAAATTTTAATTTTTCTCTGGATTGATTTAGAATTTTATTGTAATTTTATTGTAAATAATACTTCAAAATTGATTTAGAATTTTATTAGAATTTTATTGTAAATAATACTTCAAAATTGCGTGTACTCAAGTATACGTATGTATGAAGGAGAAAACTACTTTATCAACAAAATGGAAGTTTCACTTACCTTAAGCTGTTCCTGTCGCCTGTAAGCATGCAGCATTAGTTGTTTCCTTTCTTCTTCCGACATTACTGGTTCACGAGCAGGTCTTCCTCCCCCTCTTTTCTGTAACTTGACAATAATCTTTGTCTTTTCGTTCATCCCGACGTAATCCTTCACCTTCATTCCCGGCAATAATTCTTTCCCTGAGAACCAAAGTTGCGCCAGTTGCACGTCTATCACCTGTGGTTACAAAGCATCAGCTTTAATCATCAAAACGTAACTATAAAAAGGCAACGACGATCGTTTGAATAAAATCTTGTTTGTAAATTTTATCCAAATAACATCGAGATCTAACCTCGAGCGACGCTTGAGTGCCGCTCAAATCCTCTGTGTTCTCGAATTCCTGTCGAATAATGTCGTGAGGTGGAAGTCCCATAGGATAAACAATCGTCACGGCGCCCCTCAAAATGTCCAATGCCTCTTGCACAGTTTTCTGTGTCACCAGTTTCTCTTGCTGCACCAATTTCTACGGATAGGAAATACACCAAAGTCGCATTAGCAGAACGCGTAGAACGGAAATGAGAAGGGTCGATAAAAACAAGAAAAGAGAAGCACACGCACATAAGATGAAAATTACCTTCGAAACCATAGCTCGTGCCTCCTCGATCGTTTTTTTCAAGACCTCCTGCATCTTCTCGTTAGGCTGTCTGCCATTTCTGCGGCCTGAAACGTGGAAACCACTCATGGTAACATTCTGGTCGGGACTGGTCAGCAATTAATGCAACGATCACAAGCCCATTCGAAGCAACAAAAATCCTGGTTGAGCCAATTTCTCGCCTGCGTTGCACACTACGTTCCCGATAACCGTACATTTGCATGCGCTCTAAACGTGGTCGTTTAGATCGGTATAAAACAAACTGCATCGTTAGGCCTTTCCTTTAGTTCAAAACACTGTTCGTCGTACGTACGACGTGACTTGAATGTTCACTGAAGTAATCTAACAATGTTTAAAAAGTTTCCTCACTTTTTATGGTCTATTGTAATTCTGTCTTTTTCTTCTATTCTAATTTTTTAACAATCGTATACAAAAAATTTTAATCTTTTTAATATATAAATGTATGAAGATTTTTCCCCGAGAAAAGTAATCTACATATGTTACAATCATTAAGTATTAAATTTAGTTAAAAGAATTTCATACCTTTAGAGAAAGACTTCAGTGTTTATCAGATTTTTTTTTTAATTAATCCCACGGGCAAAATGTTTCATTAATTTTACCCAAATCAATGTTGTTTTTACTAATGCCATCTCACCTCTCGCAATAATTTTGTTCACGAATGACTTTGTGATCGCGATACTCGTCCATTAATGCGAAAAAATTCAACGATCCCTAGTCACTGTCTCTATGGAGGAGTTAAATACGTTCCCACATACCTATAACGTCCTTGTTGAAGGTCCATCCGCCCATTGGTACGCATTTCTCACCCCATTCGTCCTTGAGTTTGAGCTCTTCGACCTGCTCGTCGGTGAGGCCCATCATGTTGTGGGGCAGCATGGTGCCGTGCTTGATCAGCTCCTCGATTTCTATTTTTTTTTTTTTTTTTTTTTTTTGAAAAGCACAGACTGTGTGATGCACGGTTAAGCAAGTAACTCCGCGTAATTATTATCGTGACGCGACGTGTGACTAATATCATACAGCGCGTAGGATAGATGGGTTCATAAACTCAGAGATGGGTCCTCGAGTTCTTATTGCGCGCTGTTATTATTACGAGCCGCGGGTCAAGCTTTCCACGAGAGAGAGATAATCGTTAATGGATTTCTCGCGTTAGCATTCCGACCGGTATATGAAACCGAGATGGACTATAGCGAACGCATTGGATGTGGCAGAAAAATCGTCGAGATTCGACTAGTACTCGCGTGAACTTGCGACCACGTACGAATGATAATTCATTGCTCGAGGAATGTATGTATGTAATTAAATACACCTCCACGAGGATAGCTCGGCTGGGTGCGTTTAATTGATCGTAAATTATTATTCTTTCTCGTGGATTCGCGAACTGTTAGGTAGAAATTATTTGTGTAATTATTTGCATAATTTTATGCAGATTTAGAAATTCGAAATTTCTTGCTAAATTGAAGTCATCGTGGTCAATGTGTTTTACGTTTGCATCTTATTGAAGTAGGTAACAGTCCCAAGTAATATTATTATTACGGCCATGGAAAAATGTCATGGAATGAAACTGAAATAAAGCCTATTCGCGTGATAAAATTTTGCTAACTAGAATAGTTACAAAGTATAGTTGTAACTACGTTTAACAAAAATTCCTACAACACCCACCACAGAAATACAAATATAGAAAAAAGCATATCAAATTTAAAAAGTTCTCTCGAATAAGCGATAATGTTAACGTAGGCAACATTAAACCGCGTCATTGGATTAATGACACAAATGAAGAATAAACGAAGGGATACATAAGCTTGTTATCGTCAATGAAAATCATTGGTCATCGCGAGGCCCGCTCGGTAATGCCCCGATAAAATCGTACGCGCCGTTTGGCTCGCGAGTGGCCGTTACACGTGAAAATAAAAAGGCCGAGGAAACGGTAATAACGCGTTGCACGCCGTTACCTCGGGACAGCTCATGCTACTTAACGTATGATCCTTGGAACAGCGGTCAACACAGTGTCTAAATAAAATGCAACTTTCCACAGACAAGCGAACATTTTCTTTTGCCACGCTGTTAGACATGCCATCTTTCTCGATCTGATTCCCCCCGCTTTTGCGAGATACGAGCGGCCATTACCGTAACATATTCTCGAGACTTTCAGCCGGCCGTTGTAAATAATAGTAATGTCGTATATAATGTCTTCAACCCGTGCCTCCACGCGTGTGTCGTATAGAAACTGGCTCTCCTCGCCTTTCTTCACGTGCAGCCGGACCATTTTCTCGGAAAGCTTCGAACAAAGCGTACGTGACCAGTTTCAGCTTCTATTAGCATGTATTACTTTATTTATATGCGGGGATGTAACGAGCGGCAATGCGAGATAAAGGATCGTAGAGTTTAACGACAGCCTGAGAAGGGTATCATCGTTGCAAATTTGGGTTTGATGATATATTGAACGGCAAGGATTGTTATTAATCCTAGAACTAGGTTCGCGTCTCACGTAACATTATGACAGTGTACATAGTGTACATAGTTTGCCGCTGATAATACGACAAACTGTCATCTTCATCGTGGATATTTATTACCGCTCGTGACATAATTTTACGAACATAATAAATAATAATAAATGCAAATAGGTTACCTTTTTTTTACTATAGTTGATCGATTCCAAAGATTTGGTACTTTCAAGTTAATCGAGCCAATAATTAAATAAAACGTTTTAAGAATGTCAAAGTAGGTTATTCCTCGCGGTTAGAAAATATAATCCAGTTGATGTTGAAAATGAAAGGTATGCAACACGTGTTACGCGATAATAGCAATTGACAGTATGTTTCCTCGAAGCGAAAATAGCAGCTTGTGTTCGGCGAACTGATCGAGAGACGGCAAAATCGTAGCACGAACGTGAACACGCTGACGTACTGTTCTTGGCAACACGAAGTATCGATTAAACAGCTCGCGATTAACCGCCTTAGCTGCATCGTTCGTTATACAATTGGAAATTGTGAATAGCGAGCAACGGCATTTTGGCCGGTTTCAGAAGGACACTTTCAGGGGTGCAATGAAATGGCTCGTACGCGAGGTGTGCAAAATAAAACAATTTCGTTTAATGAGTATATAATCGTGTTTCATATTATCGTATAATATACATATTTACATATTCTAGTGAAACACGAATTACAAGAATAAAGACGTATATCGTTACAAATAACGGAGAAACATTCAGTCGCGCTCTATCGTTCTCTCTCACACATACGCATACGCAGTTTCATTCACGGTGCTCTTTATTGGCGTTCTTTTTGGACACAAAAATATCATCGATATATTTCTTTCTTCTCCATATAATTACTCTATGTGTCAATGATGTAATAATAATTAAATATTCTCGACATAACATTCGTAGAATAAAAATCTATACACTTATGTCCGTAATTCATCCGTAACTTCATCTAAATTGTAAGTTGACTAGTATTATGTTAAAATACACTTATAATTCGATTCGATGAGGTGTATTATTTCTCCGGGTCGTTTCCTCCCGATATTCGATATATTTATGTATGTATGTGTGTGTGTATATATGTATATATATATATATATATGTATATATATATATATATATATATATATATATA